ACAATTTCCCCAATGCTTTGGCCAATGCGGTCCGATCGAATGACCTGAACTTCGTCAAGCTCTTGTTGCGAGCACCAAAGCCACTGCGTGCTCAAATCATCAATTCTTGTCTACCTGCAGCGGTTCAGCAAGGCTCGGATGCTGTCATATCTCTGCTGATAGCATACGGCGCTGACCCGAATTTCGACTCCGCAAGCGCTCTCAACATGGCGATTGGAAGACAGGCCTATAAGCTGGCCATCGCTTTGGTCGCTGGCCCGATCCGTCTTAACGAACCGAACCTGCAACATGCGCTCGACACTACCATGAGGCTACCGACGCGGCAGGCAACGCTGCAGTTCCTACAGCTTTTGTTCTGCTGCGGGCTACCTCCCGATAGTCGGGGTCTGCCGGACTTCCTCATCTGTCTGGCAAGAAGCAACGATACTGCTGGCGCGAAGATGATGGTCAGCTATGGCGTACCGACCACGGCTGATAATGCAGAGTGTCTGAGAGAGGCCATCGAAAACTCAAACTGGAGCTTAGTGGATGCCATCCTCCAGACATCCATCGCCCCTCAGCATGCGACAGCAGCGCTTGCTGTTCTGCCGACCAACACCCCACAGCCTGATAGACTTCGCGTAGTCGATGCCTTGCTAAAGAAAGGCGCATCAGGTCCGCCTCTTGGTCGATTGCTCACGCAAGCCATCAAGGAGAAAGACACTCAGTTGATCGACCTCCTTCTTGGTGCTGGGGCACCTGTCGATTCAGGCGACAACGGCGCACTTCATTTTGCCGTGGTCAATCGAGATATCCGAACACTCAAGTCAATTCTCAACACTCGTCCCCCACCAGAGACCCTAGCGAACGTCTTTCCGCTCATCTTCCGTACTGACGGTATCTCGGTATCGGAACTACGCGAAATCGCACGGCTGCTACTAGAGTACGGCGCAAGTGGTCCAGGTGTCGATCAAGCACTAGTCAATGCAATCGCAGACACGTCGGCTGGGCGGGATGGGGCTCTGATAACAGACCTTGTTCGAAAAGGTGCAAACGTTGATGAAAGAGCCTTGTCGCTGGCAGTGACACAAGTCGACATATCTCTTCTGCGTCTGCTCTGCAACACTAGACCCAACTCCTCAGCGGCATCGGCAGCCCTACCTCTCGCCTTTGATTCACGAGCTGGCAGACATTCAAAAACACTCGAGATCATTGACTTGCTTCTCAATCATGGAATTGAAGAAGAGCCAGCTAGTCAGACGTTACAGATTGCCATCAATGGCGGCCCCGACAACATTGATATCATCGAGCGGCTCCTCACTGCCAGCCCTAGACTGCTAAGCACCGCGTTCAAGTACACGACAGCGATTGAAGATCCCCACAAGAAGGCACCAATACTCGATGCTTTGCTGAGACTGGGAGTACCACAAGACGCTCTGGACCAAGCCCTTGCCGCGGAGACACGACAGGCCGTTGCCACAAATGACACAACCAGTACTAGGTTGCTGTTGGGACAAGGAGCATCTGTGAGTCACAACGATGGCGAAGCGTTGAGTGTTGCGGTAGCTTCAGGAAACAGCTCGCTAATGGCATTAATACTCAGTGGACGTCACCAACCATCACGATCTAACGTTACGAGGTCGTTCCGTACATTGTTCACCGACGAGAAGTTGATGCTGGAAGGAAAGAAAGAGAGCATTGGTGAAATGGCACAAGAGCTACTGGCCCGTGGAGTAGAACAGTCTGCCATCGACGCAGCTCTGCGACTAGTTCTCAGCAACGAGCATAGTAAGTATACGGAGCCCTGGATTGATCTGTTGCTTCAATATCACGCGGATGTCAACACGGCGGATGGGGCATGCTTCGTCTTCGCAGCACAGAAGCACAGTCACACCATCTTTGAGAAGCTCATGCGTCACAACCCCAAGTTCAACGTCGTCGTTCCAGCGTTATTGAGTTCCAAGCTCCAAGACGAAGTAGTCGTTGCCGCAATACAGTCATGCCTCGATCACGGTTGCATACTTGAACAGCTCGGTGTCGGCTATAACAAGCCACCGATACTCATCACCACCATGACTGTGTACCCACGCAATAGCGCGCTCATCACGCTACTCTTGAAGCACGGCTTGAATCCGGAAATAACCATCCCCACGGTTCTCCATTCGTCCTGCGGACCCGAAACTGTGCCCGCACTGCTTTGGGCATTAGCTCAACCACAAAAGCGCATTTCGGACGCCGTCATCTCCGCCCTTTTGGAAGCTGGAGCATCCGTTGACCGACTTTCTGCCGCTTCGGAGACTACGGCACTTATGCTCGCCGCTCGTGAGGGGCGTCATGAGATAGTGAACGCACTAGTCGTGCGGGGTTCGGATGCGGATCTTCGGGATGTCTGGAACAAATCTGCACTCTTCTACGCTAGCAGCAGTGTGTCTGGGGAAGCCACAGTGAAGATACTAGCGCCATGCTCGCTAGCAAATGATGGTGCGTTACATGAGTCAGCCAGGGAACTCAACGTCGAGGTCACGAAGGCCTTGCTGGAGCATGCTCACGACCCTAACTACCCATCCCGTCTCCATGGCGGTAGAAATGTCCTTGGGGAAATATGTCTGAACGCGAGAGTCTCCACACCCGCGCATCGCTCGAAGCTTCGCCAGCTACTGCGTCTTCTCCTATCCAAACGCGTAAATCCCAAATTCCGTGCTCGCAACGAGAAGTCCAGTGTCATCCTCGCGCTCGACAATGCCTACAGCGCCCTACCCATCACAGAGTCTCTGCTAGAGACAGAGATATGGCAAGACCTCAACGATGAAGCACACATCTACTGCGACGCAGCCTCAGGCCTCCATTACTCACCCTACTCCTACGTCGAGCTAATCGCTACACCCGCCCGCGCTCCCGTCAGAAAGGCCCTACTCGATCTACTGCGCGACAAGGCCTGTGTTCCAGTCTATTATTCCTCGTCGGCACTCCAACCCGTCGGCGCAATAGGCATTCCACCCGCGATCGCCAAACTCGTAGACAAGCAAAAGGAACACGAGCTCTCCATCCGCCACGAAAAGGAGAAGTTCGAGCACACTCGCACGATCGAAGAAACAAGCCACAAAGACATCCTCCGACGAAAACGCGAGAGCCAAACCGTCGAACTAGAACTACAAACCAAAGCAACCCAACACTACACCGCCCTAGAGCAGCAGAAACACGACTTCGAAGTCCATCGCGTAAGAGAGGCGGAACGCATGAAGCGCTCGGAACGAGTAGCTTGGCACAACTTGGTACAAGAGCAAGAGCGCGATGCCGCTGCTGCACGGGCGAGTGCAGAGGAGAGGAAGCTGAGGGAGGCTATGGCGGCTGAGAGCAAGATGATTGAGCAGCGGAAACAGGAGTTGGAGCATAGGGCTGGGGTGGAGAGGCGGATGTTGAAGGAGAAGGAGGAGCATTATGAGAGGAATGTTAAGAGGCAGAAGGAGGTTAGGCAGATTGAGGGTGGGCCGCCGCAGTGGGGGACTGTGGATTAGTGGTCATGATGGGGAGGTAGTGAGATGATATTACGAGTTTCTTTTTGGGTTGGCGCAACGGTGTGGGTTGGGGGACCGGTCTACACCGCGCTCGAAAGCATTGGGTTATCATGGCTTGAACATCGCATTGTGATGTGCTCTTTTAATCGTGGACATTTGCAGACTTCGATGTTTCGTCACTTCCGCTGGCGCCTGCCTCGAACGTGTCCTCGTCATTGCGCCTCCTCGGCAACGCACTCACTTTCACCTCGCTCCTTCCTCATCAAAAAAGACTTTCCCACGTGCGCGCTCGCTCACCTCACCAGCACCCCGCATCTGATCTTGATTCCTTCACACCACCTCAATCCCCTGCCACAGCGGCGCCTCTACGACCATGGATCCGCATCAGCAGCACGGGGTACGAATTAAAGAAGAGCACGATGAGCTCGAAATTTGGGTGCCAGTGAAGCAAGAGCGCTTTTCCGAGGAGCGCCTTCCCGCTATCGTCCCCAAAGTCGAGCCAACCGATCACGTAAGTGCATCTGCTTCCATAGCAAGCTCCTAGGATCAGTACACTGCTATATCTGATAGCATGCGCTAATCGTACATCAGGACGACATGATCTCCACCCAGCGAAAGAACAACAAGAAACCCAAACGAGTTAGACAGACAACGAAGGATAAAAATCGCATCAAACGTCTCGAGACGGAGCTCAGACAGGCTCACGACGAATTCTCAGCACAGCGAATGAAGGACATTGAGAAAAACCTCATCTTCACCCAAGCGGCTATCACCACTCCAAGCAAACCTGGCACTATTAAACATCTGCTATTGGAGAAGCTTGGACTGGAGAAGAGACTTGCGGAGATGCAGCAAGAGATCGAAACCACAAAGCGCAATGCTGAAGCGTACAACAACAGCATCGAGCACAAGACGGACAAAGAAGACAAGGAAGTGATAAGGCAACTATGGGATAACGTTGCAGCTGAACAGGCTCGTAATAGAGAGTTGAAGCTCAACCTAGAGCATCAGGGTAAGAAGCTGAAAGAGGAAGGAAGGAAAAGGAGGAAGGCTGAAGAGCGGTTGCGCGAGGCTGCGGATCGGTTATACCGCTTTACTGGTTTCGAGGAATATCCGTCTGAGGTGAGTGAAGAGGAGCTTGAGGAAGGAGAGATACTCGAAGATGAAGAGGTCATGGAACTAGTATTCATCAAGGATGAAGAGTTGATGGAGGACGAATGATAGCAAGCAACGCAAGACATATGCGAAAAACTACACAGTGATGCGAAGCTCTTATACAGAAGTTATCATAGCTTGAACTTTGTATTGAGCTATACTCTCCTAGTCACCTGCGATGTGTCCAATCGTTTTCGCACTTTCTTGGCAGCGCACTCACCTTCACTTCGCTCCTTCCCCGTTCGTGAACTTCGCCACGTGCACGCTTGCTAACCTCGCAACACCCCGCCTCTCCAATCTGAGATCGTCCACGCCACTCCATCCCCAACCCGCAACGGTGACCCAGCTATCATGGAACAGTATCAGCAGTACGCAACACAACTCAAGGATGAGGAGAAAGATGACGAGCTCGATAACTGGATACCGCTGAAGCAGGAGCAAGACCTCGACGAGCGCGTTCCCACTGTCGTACCCAAAGCCGGATCATCTGGCGAGGTGAGTGCGCTCAGTCTACGGACAAGCTCACCGAATGGCGCACTATCGTCTCTCAATGCATATACTAACTACAACATCAACAGGGCACTCTTACCTCCTATAGACGAGAGAATAAGCGCAATCGATTTCGAGAGATCCACCGTTCCACCGGTAAACGAGGACGCAGACAAAGAGACCCCCAGCGACTACCAAAGAGAGTGTACCTAGCAGAGAAAAAACGAAAAGCCGCGGAAATGAGCCATCAGCCCGGCAAGAAAGAGATCCGGGTTTCTCAGATCCAGCAAGAGCTCTCAGACACCCGCAAGATGATAGCAGAACTTAGAGCACGCTCACAAGCGGGTGCACTGAATACAAAACCTTCGCCTCCTCGTCACGAACCCGAAGCGATCGCTGTCACGAAGCAAGCGAATACCATAGCAGCGATAAGAGCGGATATCACACGGCTGGAGCAAGAACTAAAAGAAGCGTGTCGACAGGGCGAGAACGCCATACGTGATGCCCGCGCCGCTGATAATAACGACGGCGATGTTGAAGCGCTGGAGAAAGAGCTTGCGAGGGAGCAAGGGAAGGACAGGGCGATGGTCAGCAAGCTGCAGAAAGCTCTTGAGAAGGAGCAGGACAGGGGTGGAGAAATGTTTACTGGCTCGCGCAGTGTTGATGAGCAGGAGGGTGGTGTGACGGGCTGGCAGGGATATCGTGGTGGACAGAGTGGAGGGGTTGTCAAGGTTGAGGAGGATAAGGGTGAGGAAACGTATACTGGTTCACGTAGTGTCTGTGAGCAGGAGGTTGGTATGACAGGCTGGCCAGGAAGTCTTGATCTACCGATTAGGCAGCGAGTCAAGGTTGAGGATGAGGTTATGGGGTTTGAGAACGAGGAGTAGCACGGAGGGTGTGAGGAACGCCAAGGAAAGCGTACGTATCTGTGGATGATACTCAGTGCGAAGTTTGAAGAAGGATTACAAGATCGCATGGAGGAGTGAGCAACACCCATCGCAAGCAGAGATACGAGCAATCGCGATGATGTCAGATTGTGATAATCACGGCATATCTGACCGAACATCGTATGTCACGTCACCCCATTCCTCTCTGACACATACTGTCACACGTCCAAAGTTGGGAAGCAGCATGTGAATCATTCATTCTCTGACCAACACCGGGTATAAACTCCATCTCCCTGCTATCCCTCTCCCCACATATCACATGACATTCATCCATCATCCCAATCCACCATCCCCCTCACTGAACCTCAAAAACCCCACTAACCCCCTCAAACTCTTCAACACTCCCACCCACCTTTTTCGCATCCCCATAATACCTAATCCGATACCTCCCCTTCTCCGTCCCCATAACCCCCGTATCCCAGCTAATAGTAACATCACTCGTCCCCGTAAGCCCATTCACCCTCTTCCACTGATACACGACCTCCCAATCCTCGTCGTTCTTAACCTGCGTCCACACCCCACCATCATCACTATCACTACTGCTCTGTTTCTCTATAGCAGCAAACGTGCCTTCAAGACGGAGGTTGTTACGCGGATTCGCGCCGACGAATGTCGCGGAGACCGTGGCGCCGCGGGCGTATGTGGGCAAGACGTCTTTTGTGACTTGGCCGAAGGAGCGGCCGAAGCCGGGGCCGTCGTAGACGACGCCGGTGATGAGGGAGATGGATTTGTCGCGGTTGTCTGGGGGTGAGGGACCGGGCGGAGGCGGGGAAGAGGAAGAGTCAGATAGGTAGGGGAGGTGGGTTAGGGTGGCGTTGATGTAGGCGTTTAGGGTGTGGGGGCCGTAGAGGGTGGAAGCGCCTTCGTAGCGTTGGATGCCGTATTCCTCTTCCGTGGCAATGTAGTGCGTGTAGCTGTTTGCTGGGCCGCCTAGTACGACGATGGGGGAGGAGGCGATGTTAGAAGAGATGACGGCGTTGTGGACGGCTTCGCGCCAGCGGCGGCCGGACATGGTTGTTGCTTCGCCGGGGGAGACGATGATGACGAGTTGGCCGACTCGGAGGACTTGGATGTCGACGATGTTTGGAGACCAGGGGTATGGTACGTTGGCTTGTCCGACGTTAAGTAAGACGGGCTTCGGGTACTGGCACTCCTTTTGCTCTTTGCTTGGTGGTGCGATGGCGCTGCCGACGAGGTTCCAGAAGGGATTCGAGGGCGCGCCTGGGTCGTTCTGGACAAAGTCGAACGCGCCGGGGCCGTCAGATGTGCCGGCTGCGAAGGAGTTACCCATGGCTGCAGGACATGTGTGGACGACGGATCCATTGCTAAGGGTGAAAGTAAAGTTGGAGAAGTCGACATAGGTGTGGAACGAGCGGACCTTGCCAGAGATGGGCGTGAAGGCATTGAAGTCGTAGATGCTCCTGGCACCCTCGGCCTGACGCCTACCGATCTCGTAGCAGGACTTGTGGCCTCCGTCGTCCAAGCCGAAGAACGGTCCACGACCGTGGCAGTCCTGGCTCTTTCCTCCGCAGGTGCTGTCGTTGAGTCGGCACTGCTGGCCTGACCCGTCTTCGCAATAGGCGCCGAGTACGTTGGGGGTCGTGTCACCGACGTTGGCTTGCGAGAAGCCTGCTACAAAGCCCTCGGCAGCATTTGAGTCGGCCGCGTTGGTCTCCATATCCTTCTCCAGCAAGTATGCGGCCACGCCTTTGTTATCTCCAGCAATGAGCGTCTGGTTTCCCAGCATACTGGTGCCGTGGACAGGGAACCAATTCAGAATTCCAATGCTCTTTCCGTCACTGGCTCTCGTGAACTTCAGAAGTGTCATGGTCTTGTCCACATTGTCTGTATAGCGATCGCGTTCTGCTTGGGGGTTGGCGAGGTAGGCGAACAGACTACGGTTGATGTTCGCATCAGCAATCTTCGCACTGCCAGCACTGACAGTTCCCAGGGTAAGTCCTTCATGCGCCCTCTTGATAGACAGAAGCGTTCCGTCCACGATCGCACGATAGCTCTGCTTGTCGAAACCCTGGCTCGTGATTTGCGGGAGGAGGTAGTTCAACCAGGCTCCCGGTCCGGCATGGCTGTGGGTGCCAGTCACGGCGACATTGTTCTTCCCGTATACAGAGTACTCAGACCCCATAGCCTGGAGCCCTTCCAAGATGCCGTTTCGGATGGCAGAATCTCCAGACTGTGTGTCGAGGACGAGGTACACGAAGCGTTCGCTGGCTTCGTCCGGGTTGCCGACGATGAAGGCGCGGGAGTAGAGGCGCTGGCGGAGTCCAGATCCGATTTGCGACGAGTTGGCGTAGCCCATCATGTTGAGCTCGACGACGGGGCTGTGGCGACGTTAGTAAAGTCGCATGTTGGTATTCTCGCCACCCACCCAGTGATATCCGCCTTGCCAACGCCGACAAGGTACGAAGAAGCGTCGCCAGCCTGGCCTCCATCCTGCTTCTCGCTGTTGAAGACATCCTGCTGCACTCCAGTGTACGTCTGATCGAGGCGCGCATGCCAGAAGTCGACGACGGGGAATCCGAGGTTGATGACGAGCTGGGCGATGATCAACGAGGCAACAAGGGCCGCACCCAGTGCGACTGCGATGTGTGAGCGCGCCATGGACGCGAAGAGATGTCTGGGCGGAAGTGTGCGGAAAGAAGCTGGAAGCCGTTGGACGGGGCGCGGCGAGGTTCTTGTACGCTACTGCTGGCACCGGAAGCTACGCGTGCCAGACGTGTAGAGGGTTGCACATGGGCGTGCAGTTGATTAGCAGGGAAGATAGATAGACAGGGAGAACAGGGAGACAAAGTATCGCCTCTGGCCACACAGCAGCGCGAAGCTTGACAGTCGCGCCTGGCACCTGCATTGCATGACGTTGCGGGGTTCCTCGCCGTCTGGTTGGCGGGGAGCCCGGACGCGACCAGTGCCCAAATCTACCCGTGCAGGCCTGCTTCTCTAGCACGTCTAGTTTCGCGACACCCTTCCACCTCACCTGCGCATCCAATACACCATCTGCCATCTACCTCGCCCTTATCCCGGCCCGCTGCACGTCGCTTGCCCGCCATGCCCCTCATCCAGGAATCCTACGACCATCTCCCTTGTACGTCCAATTTACTTCCTGCCCCAACACAGCAACCATGTCCGATGCGCCCAGTCACGCGCGACATCTGGACTGATAACCCCCGTATTGCCTCGCTAACCACTTGTAGACGTCGATACGGAGCTCTCAGCTGCGAGCCTGGTCGCAGCCAGACACGCCATCAACGCCGATATCAGAGCCGCGGGCGTAGACACCACAGACATGCATCCGGCGCTTATACCAGCAGCCACGAAATACACACCCACCTTTTCCGACTTCATCACGCGCGAGCACGCGCGCCTCGACGACCATCCTACGTCGAAGCTATCCGGCGTCGATTTGAAGCGCTATGAGGATCTCGATGCGCCCGAGAGCACGACCCCGACGAGCGACGAGGAGAGGCCGGAGTTGCTGGAGCGGTGGAATAAGGCGCTGAAGCAGGCGTATACGAGCTCGGAGTATGTGCAGGGCAGGCTGACGCAGTTGGGGCTGTTGGAGAAATTCGGGAAGAACGCGTGGTTGGTGGGCAACTCGCAGCTGGAGGATATACTCAAGGGCGTCGAGGCTGAGCTGGCGGGTTTGGGCAAGCAGCAAGAAGAGGTGGAGATGGCGAGGAGGTCGCAGCAAGATAGTGCGGGTGCTGAGCTCAAGACGCTCGAGGAGACGTGGAAGAAGGGTGTAGGAAGAGTCTTAGAAACTGAGGTCGCGGCTGAAGGGTTGAAGCTGCAGATTTTGGAGAAGAGAAGGGCAGGCGCGGTTTGAGAATTTCATCACCATCGAGTGAGGAGCATAGTTGCATGATACCCAATACACACCATCACATAGAACATCACACTCACACCGTGAATTTTCACCCATAGTTCAGTCTTGAGATGAGTGTGCAACTCAGTGTCATTACTAGGAACTATATAGCTAAAGTAGCAGGGGTACTCATTTATAGAATTGAAAAGCCACGCCTCATTCGCCATCGCTGTTCTGCTCATCCGCAAAAACAAGTCAAGGAAAAACGTTTCATCCCTTTTTGGGTATCGAACTCCATCGTCATTAGCTGAAATGAAAGACAGGCCATCCACTAGTAAACAATACGTTCGTCAAAGACGGGTGCCTCGCGCGAGTGGCCGTCCTCAACACCCTTCCAGTACACCTTGCCCTTCTCGTTGAAAGTAGCCTGCTCGTCCGTGATGACGAGTCCGGGGACGGTCTTTTGTGTGTCCCTGATCTCGCGCGTGCTGATGCCCATGTCGTCCTTGACGATCCAGATTACGGGTGTGGGGCTGGTGACGGAGGGGTTGAAGAAGGCGCGCTTCTGGATCTCCATGGGCAGCGGCTCTTGCGGGTGGTGGTAGAACTGGTCGAGGGACGCGGAGAGGTTGTGGATCGAGTTCTTCTCGGGGTTGAACATCTTGGCCAGGAAGCCGGGCATGCGAGTGGCCTTGGGTGCGTAGCTGGGGGTGGCATGGGTGGTGTGGACCTTCTCGCCGTTCTGCGTGTGCATGCCGTCCTCGTGGTGGCCGTTGGTGACGCTGCCGTGGGCAGGGGATGGGTCGGTGTAGGCGAGGCGAGCTTCCTCGTGCTTTAGGGCGAATTTCAGAGTGAACTGGAAGACGAGGGTGAGGAACAGGAGCAGGCACATGATGGCCAAGGGACCGACGGCCTGGATGTTCTTGGCCGTGGCAATAGCGAACAGACCAATCAGGCAGATCTCAGACAGGTAGATACCGGTCATAAGCTGGCGAAGGGCCTTCTGGTAGGCTTCGCCCTTGGTGTCCAGGTTGGTCTCGTACACGTATAGGAAGTTGTACCTGAAAGCAACGTAGATGAGCGAAAAGCCAATGGTAGCGAAACCGAGGATAAGAGGTGCAATGCCAGAGTAGGTGATACCAATGACAGCCAAGTTGACCCACTTGGGGTACTCAGATCCCCACGATGGAGCCGAAAGCTTAGTAAGCTTGTCGAAGATCTTGCGAGGTGTCTTGCCAGGCAGAATGCGGCCCAGGAGCACTACCACGACGAAACCGCCGATGTTGAGCAGAGTTCCGGCAGCCGATGAGAGACCCAACAGGATGAAGTAGCTGATGTAGAAGTTGGAGGCTTTGGGCAGGCTTGTAGAGAGCAGAGTGAGCACGCTGCCGGGGTTGTCGATGATCTGGTTGATGGCGGACGTGATGGCGCTGGACAGGGTTGCCACAAGGAATACCTGGACGACCTGGAAGGCGAAGTACCAGTTCTGGGTCTTGAGCTCGATCTGACTCCATGTAACATAGCCAGCCAACTTGGCCATCAGGCGACAGACAATCGGCACCAGGGCCATGAGCACGGCAAGCATGACAGCTGGCAGGAGACCGGTAACAACACCCAGGATAACCTGAGGGATGTCCAGGATCCACTCGAGCCAGGAGAAACGGTCAGCCAGGTAGTTGATGTTGGAGATGAGACCGACAAAGGCAACTGAGTACGTTAGCTGAGGTCTGTAAATGTGCATGATGGGTCTTACCGGGAATTGCGAAGAAGATGATCATGACAGAGATGAAGGCGGTAGCGACTGCCCAGCGGGCAAGGTGCTCCATGGGCTTGATCTTCAGATTGCCCCAAACGACCTCCTGAGGCACGATACCAAGTTGGCGTGCCTTGAGCTTCTTGTCAGGTCGGGTCTTGCTGCTTTGCATCATCTGCCAGGCGTCCTGCGCATGCCTCTGGGTATCAAACTCGAGGAAGACGGCTCCGACCAATTCACCCTGGCCGTTCCAGTGCTTGTCCTGTTCTTGAGTGATCTTTGGCATGAGCTCAGCAAGGTGCGATCGTCCGTACTCGATAGTGTCAACCTTCTTGCCGATCAGGAACTTGAGCTTGTGTGTCGGGCGCTTCTTGGGGTCGATCCACTTGGTGCCGTCAGATACGTCGCTTGCGACGAAGTGCTTCTTGCCCTTCTCTGCCTTGATGCGGTTCATGTTGGCTTCACGTAGGAGCTGGTTCTCGCCATCCTCCAACTTCATGGCAGTCTTGTCACGGTCCTCAACCAAGTCGTCCAACTCCTTTGTGTTTGAGGCGACCCAGGCATGCTTGACGCCGGGAAACATCTCGAAGAGGGCAGACTGCGACATGGTCGTTGGGACGTTGGTGAACAGAATGGTACGCGAAGACAAGCGGCTGGCGCCCCATGGCGAACGACGGTACGCTTGGCGGAGGTTGACGACGTAGAAGGACTCGCGGGCAATGATGCACATGACCATGCTGAGGAAGATGAAGGAGATTCCGGCATGGGCATAGTAGCGGTTGACATTCTTGCCTTCGGGGTTGACGTTACTCATGGAGAGAAGATCGAGCTGCTCCTGGCCTGCCCCTCCAGTCGCATTGACGGGGAAGAGAACGGGCCATGTGACAAGACATCCGAGGAAGCAGGTGACAATGAGGACCTTGAAGAAGCGCACGAACAGGTAGCCGTCAATGGACTGGTGGTCGAGAATGTACTCGTCCTTGAGGTTCTTGAAATCTTTTATCCATCCTAAGAAGCCTCCGCTCGGCGCAGGCGTCTGTCGCTGCTGCCCCAGGTGGTTGAGATAGGTTCTCGGCGCATAGACTCGGCGGAAGTATTTGCGCGCGATAAGGAAAGCGACGACGAAGGCGATCGCAAGAATGGCAGTCGGCACCAGAGTGGAGACCAAACTGGAAAGGGAGTTGGAGGATTCTTTCTGGGCTTTGCCAACTTCACCACCCTTTGTTATGATTAGCGCGCGTTCATGTCAATTCTGTCGCGATAGTGGGGGAACTGACTGTAGACGACATGCTGGGCAACTAGGCAGTCGCGTGCCCGTGGGGTGGAGTGAAGGAGTCGCGAAGGGAAGATGCTTCTTAGGAAATGAGGAGGCTCTAGGACTGCATACAAATAAACAGGACTGCGGGCGCTATACAAGGAGTCCACCAGCCTCTACTCCTAGTGTGACGTCGTGGTCCAAGCACACTCCACAAATCGGTCCTATCGCGCGACTCGAACCAGCCCGCTAACCCCTTCAGCTTAGCTGCGCGCATCCAGCTTCTGGACCCTGACACTTCACTGCGGCCTGCATCACCAGCCTCAATTGCGGAAAGCTTTTCGCTGCGTGGCGGTGATGCACCTCGGCGTGGCCGTGAAGTGAAGTGAGACTTTTCACCCACCCATGTCCGGCTCGAAACGCGTCTTCATGTGAAGGATGCGCGACAAGGGCCCAGGGAAATTACCGAGCTGGCGGAAAAGCAACCTTGTGATTCGCGACATGCGGCGCAAATCCAGTTGAGAACATTGCCAAGCTTGGCAAGCTCCCAGCCTCGCTAGCGATCGTCCTGGATGCGGTACGACAATTACGTCAATCGAGCGTTGTCCGCTGCCGGGCTACCCCTTCTCCTGTCAGGTGTCACTAGACGCCGCCTTGGTTGAAAGCGACCGACGATACAGTGATACAGCGAACAAACACGGCACAGAACCGACTATGCGTTGTTGCGGTTAAGCAGCCGAAACTATGACGATGCCATCTCACCGTACTCTGTGCGCATCCTATCACCCTGCACTACACACAGACACGACACAGACACAGAAAGCCTATTCTCCCCACCGCATCTTGATCCCGCAGTGATAGTCACAATTGATTGACACGCGCAGCCGCTCCTCGCACACAGCGGGAAGGATTGACAACTCCACACCCCCTGTGGGAACCGACGATCTAGATTGAAGCCACATCCCGTCTCACCACGTCTGCGATCTCATCTGCGGCTGCAGCCAATCCCCTGGCCCCGACTGTCATCTCCACCAACACCAGGTGACGCGCAATATCGACTGGACAGAATTTGAGTTTTCGTCTTTTCAGCTCGCTGCCCCTGTTTACACATGCGGGTACACGTGGCGCAGCTTCCAGACCCTGCGTTTTTCGCTGCACCGCCACACGTTCACACCAGTCTTTTCCGCGGGGTGTGCGCAATCGTTCTTACGCTTACGCGCATGGGCTAGGTGCGCTGCGATTCACGGCCTTTCCAGAGAGATGATGCAATCGCAGAGGTTGTCTTCTAATCAAACGTCGAACTAGTTCGCATGTGCCATAAGCTGTTGGCACTGCCGCACCGTCGATGGAAAGGTAGTATCGTCATTGTCTGCATCAGACGCATCAATGCCTGTCGTACTCACATGAGCCGATGATGAACCTTCTTTGTTCTTTCAGAGTTTGCTTCAATAGGACCGAACCAGCCGTTGATCTCTTCACACGCCAGAGATAGGCGATACGCGATATTAACGACCGAGCCCCCTGTTCACTTCGGCACTGCCGCTGTGAGATGGCTTATGGACGATGCAGCGCGTCGAAGACATACACTCACCGCATGCACAGAGAACGACGAGAACGACGAGCATGACCCTTCTTCAGACTACATCACCAAAGTCAGGGTAAATTTACGATATCCACCGATTATATGAGGGCCCAGGTCCTCTATCAACACGAATGATGTTCTTTTCGTGCCATCGTGGTAGGCAGATAGACCACCCACTACAACATTCGGGAAACAAGCCTGGGACAACAGAATGCAGCAGGCGATTATCGATCATGTGACAATGTTAGGTGCTAGATAAGGGCTAGCGCATATGTAGCATTGTGGCACAGCTGCGGGGACAACAACATGTGAGGACTGCGATGATATCACCGTGCCACTGCACATTTGCACGTCGCGATTTCAATTATGTCGCTTTGTAACGTTTGCAGGTCGATACCGTTTCGCAAAGTCATCACACGAGAGAAACATGATCACACGCTTGAAAGAGCTGGCTTTAGGTTCAACGCAGTTGGGCGAACATCGTCGATTCCTAACGACAATCTTCCTTGGAACGAGCGACGATGCACTATTGCAGAGATGGTGTCTCGCGCGAAGACATGCCCACTCTGCGCATACATCCTGCTGAAAATCAATCAAACGAGTTGGTGCACGACGTGGGAGAGGGGACGAAACTCCTTCACATTGGAAACAATCAAGACTGTCGTTCCACAGAATCCCATGGTGTGGATGAGATTACCTAGCGCTACGGAGTCGCATAAGCCCTTCCGAATCGCCTTAGGTACTCCACACTGTGTTGTAACTTCCTCTTGGTTGCTCGTCTACATAAGGTTACTATTTGGTAATTTTCACGCACGCTGAACTATAGAAAATCCTAAACTGACTGGATAGTACAGACGACCCATTAAGGCGAATCTGCGACCTCACTAGTGTCGTTCTAAGAGAGACACTGCATCCTAAAACATTGAAACGTATGCTATCTTGGCTGGACAAATGTAACACTAGCCACTCCTGGTGCCATAATCGATCAATGCGACGAGTACCCCTGCCTAGACGAGTCTTGGACGTGAGCATGCTTCCTGGACGAGAACAAATGCTCGGTATGCAGCAGCCATGGCGAGATCAACTTCGGGGTGAAAGTTGCAAGCTTCTACAGACTTCCGAAGGTCAGACGGGTCTTTATGCGGCGTTGAGCTACTGCTGGGGCACCACCTTACCCTTGACGACGACTACAATCAATTTGAAGAACCACGAGTCTGGAATAGGCTTCAACATTCTACCGCGAACCTTGCAAGACGCTGTTATGGTTGTACGATGTCTGGACATTGGATACATCTGGATTGATTGCTTATGCATCCTGCAAGACTCGAAGAGAGACTGGGAACACGAATCTGCACATATGGCAGATGTATACTCCAATGCATCTTTGACTGTAGCTGCTTCACGAGCAGAGCACTGTGGGGAGGGATTCCTTGGTCCTCGCGAACTAAATCCTCCATTATGTGTGAACATCAAAGACGAAGGAGACTCGTTCGATCTGTTCTTTCAAACAGCTCCCATGCCAGTTGACGAGGTTAGTTGAACTCCCTGAGTTTGGCATTGTTCAATTGAAATTTTCTAATACCTTTAGCCTTTGAATGGTCGTGGATGGGCTGGACAAGAAAAAGTACTCTCCCGTCGTATCTTGAGCTTTGAGACTGGCGAAATAACCTGGGAATGCTCTATGAGTAGCAAGAACGAAGAGAAACTTAGACAGATTAACTGGGCGTTCTTGCACCGCACTTACCACGGGAATACCGTTGAGCAAATGGCAAGGCCGCTAAACCAACCTATACGTCACAAGCTTTATCAATGGTATGATTATATAGAAGATCATACCATACGCGAAGTGAGCTTCAACAAAGACACCTTTCCAGCGATGGCTGGCGTTGTTCGAAAAGTACAAGAAGTCACCGGGGCCACATATTACGCCGGTCTATGGAAATCGCACTTCCTTGACGGCCTCCTATGGCACTTTTATCCGCTGTGGTACTGGCATCCGGACCTATGGTCTCTCATCCCAGAGGAAAGAAGAGGAGAGAAACGACGGGGTCTTAGGAAACGGCAGGTATGGACTGCCCCGTCGTGGTCGTGGGCATCTGTCAAAGGCATCATTTGTCACGATTATCAACACGAGGCTGATAACATGTGGGCCGATTATTGTGCCCATCTCGAAGAGTGCAACATCACTCACAGCGGCTTGGACCCCTTTGGCGAAATTACGGCTGGGTCCGCCCGCATCAGAGGACCGTTAACTCTGGTTACACGGGTCAAGGCTGACACAGATACTGTACAGTTTCCATCATGTAAGCTCCAGCTCGACAACGGCGCACTGGTCAATGCTTTTGCTATGTTTGACTCTGTCGACTACAGATCCTGTAGTGCGATGATGATTACCGGCCACGTGGGCATATGCATCGAGAAGGTCGAGGGAACGACGGATACATATACTAGGGTTGGCACTGTTGAGATCATCAGGAATCATCGAGGCCCCGGGAGCGATATTGGCGATGACGATGAGTATACCATCTACAAACCGTGGACGCTTCTGACTGCTGCGGACCATTGCCCAGCACGTACTATCACTTTGGTTTAGTTCTCGTCAACTCCAGCTCGTATTGAAGTAGTATTGTCCATCAGGGTGCGTCTTACTACCTCCAAACATTATACACCATTCTCGACGATAGTGATTTCTGCTCTTACTCCTCCGGTCCGATCACTTCAGTCATTCCGGTCAAAACAGCAAACGAGACTTGAGTAGTGCATGCCTCGCAATTGTTGACTGAATCGAGTATAAACCGACGATACCCACACCGCAGCGCGTCGCAGTGCAAACGCTCTAGACAGCTCTGATTCGTCGTCCACCCACCTTTACTTCGAGATGTCAGTCACGCTACTATCGCTACTTCCATAACCCCCTCTACCAGGTCTTTTGATACTCTCTTTCGCTCAATTAGCAAGCCTTCCGACTCCTCTCACGCTATCAAAATCTCGCTTTTGATCACCACCGCACGGCCAGTTTGCTACTACTCCCTGCGACATACCTCTCCGCACGAGGATCACCGCCCATCCACTCGCCTTCCATCAACAATTACAACGCCCGAATTCTCCAACAACATGCCCCCGCCGAATCCCCCACCCTACGACACGTCCATATTCGGTACAAGCCACCCACCACTCTCGGCCCGCCATGGCGTCCAAGGAGCCCGTCGTCCGCCGCACGACTCCGGCCCCGTACGTCCACTACCCCTCGGTGTAGTCGTATGCGTCTCAGTCCACTGACAACAACCAGATGTTCAACCCCCACATCCGGATCAACCAAGCAATTGATTCACTATGCGCATTCCGCCACTCCATGACCGAGCTCGAGACCAATCACCGCAGCGTCCTCGAGACCAAGGACGCAGAAATGGCAACCCTACAGCAGCGCTTCAACGGACTAAACACTTTGCATCGCAGTACCAAGGCTCGAGTCGACGACAAAGTCCTATTGCAGGGCAAACTGCAAAACGATATCAAGATATTGAAGCGGGAACTCGCAGCTAAGAAGGCGAAGAAGGGGGTCGTCGACCAGGATATAGAGAAGCGGGTTATCGAGGTAAGACAGCAGAACGCTTTGTTGACTGCTAAGGTGTTGGGGCTCGAGAAGGAACTTTCGGATGAGAGGGCGAGGGGGAAGGAGAATAGGGATGCGAAGAGGGAGTTGGAGATTATGAAGACGAAGTTGGCGGATATGGTGAGGGGGAAGGAGGTTAAGGTTGAGGTCGTTGAGTAGGGGTGATGGAGGATTTGGCGAGATTGGAAGGTGGTTGTGGAGGGTTTTCATGTAGGTTCTTGGATGCGATGATGGGCTTGATAGGAGGGTATTTGGGGTGGTTGTATGCACTGTTGCATCATACCTGGTCTCAATCTCTTTCTAACGTATTACGTGTGTTGACCACCACCCTGTTGCAAAAGTGCTTCTCGCCGCTGCCTCATCCTCGTCTCTTCCATCTCCAACCACTCTACCTCTCTTTTTCGTTGCGCCTCCACATGAGGCGAGACTTGTGACGTCGAATTGTTCGCTCCCGGTACTGGTATGGTCTCCGTAGTCCTGTCATCATCTCCATCGTCCCTTCCGACGACCCCAGCCTCATTCGCTCGCCCATGCTCTTCCATCCCATTATACGGCAATTCTCCCGGCTGGTCCTCAGCTCTGAGCTCATGCGCTCCTCCCACCGCGTATTTGTATGAGTGCGACCGATCTAATTCCCGCGTGAGGCCATTGCCAGACATCTCTTGGTATTGCGTTTGGTATGCGCCAGCCGTTGGGGCGGACTGGTCTGCACCGAGGACCATCTTGTCACCGTCGCCTTCTCGTCTCGCTAGTTCGTCGTCGGTGAGGGTGGTCGTGGGTAGTTGCGTCCTCCGCTTCTTGCGCCGCCAGAAATACCATCCGCCTATTATGAGGGCGAGAATGACAATGCCTGCTATCGCTATTCCGGCTATTGCACCACTCCCTATGCCTGGCTTGGAATTGCGGTTTTGGTTAGGTTTAGGACGTGAGGTTCGGGTAGAACGAGGAGGCGTGGTTGTGCGGGTGGATCCAGTCGCTGTTAAGGGTGCCGAACTTGGTGACGGATTTGTTGTAGACCATGTGGTTGCAGCTAGAGTCGAGAACACAATTTCCAAGGCCTTTCTGGTTTCGAGACCTATGATGAGATTGTCCACTACTGTTGTTTGCCCTAAAGTTACCGTAACCGGTGGCTCACGAAAATCGCTGCGGGTTATTTCGAGTTGAAGCGTTGGCGAAGGTTCAACTGTAACAGCTATGATCGATGAGCCCTCAGCGAGCAGAGTCACCTCGTATGCGGTAAGTTCGGCATACGCTGGTGAGAGCTGTTGGGTGATCAATGTTGCTCCGGGAATTTGATCTGTCATTCTTGGTAATCATGAAGTAGACCGCGAGAATGAGTGCCACTCTCACAACAGAGTGAGACGAATTTACGGACATATGAATGTCGTGATAAAGAGGCTCGACAGGTGGAGCTGGACAGTAAGAAAGCACCAACGGCTTTCTTATCATATATAACGATCTAGAATACATATTCTGACGGGGCCGTATCATGGGCACAGCCTGAATGGGGCTGTCGTCGCACAACGGTTGGAATTATAGATTTATAAATTGCGTACCATATATAGTTTAGCGGCTACCCTTCTGGGCGCTGGTTAAATGTGGTACTGGCTGCGCATGCCGTCTATTTGCTAGATGGCCTGTTCGCCCCCAAACCTTTCTATCTCAGCGAACGTTGATTCGGCATGTTGAGACTGTCACGGGCTGTGCCGTGCAGGGCGGAAACGCAGCTTACATGGACATCGGTCAACCCACTCGATGTTTCTAGCCCCGACAAAGTCAGCCACAACGCCTCCAACGCTACTTCTCCTTTTTGAGCTCGGCAACTGCGCGCAACGGTCTCCGCCACCAAGCCTCGCGACATTCACACATCTCCACACCAAACCACTATTCCGCGCCCTATTTCACAATTGTTCTGTCGAACCTTGGGAATACTCCCCATTTGCTTCCGAAAAAGACAATTTCGTCCATCTCCTTCGCTCGCGCCGCAAAAACATTCATTCAGCCTCTCTGCTCCCATCAACCTTCCCACCCCCTTGCATCAAAAGCGTCTCCTGTCTCTTCCGTATTCTTTCCTCTTCCATCTTTAGCCATTCTAGTTCTCTCCTTCTCTGCGCTTCTATATGTGGCGAGGTATGCGAAGCAGTATTATCGTTTGCCGGAACTGGTATCTCCACTTCCCCTTCATCTGTCGCCTCAGTCACTCCAGGAAGTGGTAATTCCCCCGGTATATCATCAGACCCGATCTCATGCGCTACATATCTGTGCGATTGCGAGCGGGACAGTTCCTGCGCGCGACTATCGCCAGACATCTCTTGGCGAGCGCCGAATGTGGATGCATCGTACTGCGGATCAGGAAGACTCTTCTCATCATCTTGTTCTGCCCGTTCGTCGGCTTCATGTGTGTTCTTGCTTGTCATAGTCTGTATGCGCCTTCTTCGGCGCCAGAAGTACCAGCCACCTATGATAAGGGCGAGGATAACAATTCCGCCTATAGCTATGCCGGCGATTGCGCCGCCACTTAGCCCTGGACTGCCAGTGTTGGTATCCGCTGCGGCTGTTGTATATTGAGTCCCACTGTCGGATTGTATCGCACTCGCGCTGCCTTCAGAACCCGAAGCTTCCGAGTCCGTTGTCGCATCAGTTGCTGAAGTTGTTTGACTCTCCCCGACATTTGTGGAACTTGGTGCTGAGATCTCCACCGGCGTTGATTGCGTCGTTGTTTCGACAGCACTCGTCTCATAAACACCTTGTCCAAAAGGGTCACGACGGAAGGCTATCACTGTCCGATCTGTCGCTAAAGAGAATTCACATCCGGATACGCGATAGGTTTTGTCTGCCTTCGTCATGGTCTGAAGATCAGGCGGAAGGCTGATACCATATTGATGGGGAAACATGACCAGCGTCATGTATATGGGCCCTAGTTCGGGTGGCTCTGTAAAGAACAACTTTGTTGTTATAGTTGTGTCGGCGGAATCCCAGACATCGACGCTGCGCCAGCCGTATGTATTTTTTGGTGGGCCGGTTATTGCGGGCGCGTCTGTCGTTGTGGGTGCCTCTGTCGTCGTAGGTGCGTCTATCACTATGGATGTGACTATCACTATGGATGTTTCTGTCATTGTGGATGGGTCTGCCATTGTGGATGGGGTGCGTGGGACCGAGGAGTTGGGCGGATGGAAATCGAAGACCCTTCGAATTGTCGGAAGTTAATGCGCGAAATATCACGTATAATGAGATCAGACGACGGGCCATGTGACTCTAAAGAGTTCCCTGGCATTCATACATCACCGCAAGTACTTCTCAACAGCGAGCGGGGTACCTCAATCCATCGCCCCCAATCCTAAGCAATCCCTTCCTTCTCGCGATAGGCCAATAGGTCAAAGAGACAAAGGTACCCACTTATCTACACGTCGAAATTGATGCATCGGGCCTTTCCTACAGGTCGTGTGACGCAGTATCGAATCAAACATCGGGACTGTGTTTGCGGCACAGTCAAGCGAGCAAGGCTGTGCATGGTGGATGGACTTCTCATTCGACGAGACTATCATATGTACCGGAATGATCAGACCTTTGTCGTCATTTCAATGCAAGCTGTAGTGATGGATTCAGAGGTCGCAGTTTCGGTCGCAGATACGTGTTGGGAGCTTTTGCACTCGGTGCGATGCTTCGGCAGACAGTAGATTTGAGGTTTTCTGGACTTGGAGCATGGAGAGACATATGGGCACTTTTAATTTGTGCTTGAGTTTCTTTCAAAATCAGCTAAGTAGAGGTTTTGCTGGGCCTATACTATCAATTCTTCGCACCGCTTTGCGCCGCAAGCAACTCTCGCCGCTTCCGCATCCTTTCCTCCTCCATCTCTAGCCATTCCATCTCTCTCCGCCGTTGCGCTTCGACATTAGATGAGAGTGAATTGTTTGTCGCCTCAGTCGTATCCGTCATCTCCGTCATCTCAGCAGCGGGTCGTTGCGGGGCGTGATAAGGGACTGGCGCAGTGTACTCATCTGGACCATTCAGCAGCTCAACCGGCTCAGACTCGGTCTTGAGCTCATGAGATCCATTCATCGCGTATTTGGTGTACTGTGTAGGATCCAGCTCTTGCGTTTGTATCTGTCGACTTCCTGGCATTTCTTGTGGCCGCTCCTTTGTGTCAAGCTCTGGTATGCCTCCATCTCCGCCCCCGTCTCCTGCGATGTGCGCACTAATCTCAGTGCTCGTGACCTTCCCTCTGGTGCGTTTTCTTCTCCGCCAGAAGAACCATCCACCGATGAGCGCGATAACGAGGACTGCTGCAATAGCTATGCCAGCGATTGCGCCGCCTCCGAGCCCTGAACTACCGCTGCCGTTGTCCTGTGGCGCCGCTGTCGGCACATTGCCATCCGATGGCTGCGGAGATGATGCTGTACCGTCGTTGCTTTCCGTGCTCGAGGCCAGCGAGTTTGTGGTTGAACTGCGAGGTGTGTCGAAACCTGTCGAAGAAGGATAGAGAGCAGTCCCAACCGCAGATGTAATTTGCTGGAGAGTGGAAGATTGAATCGACGCGGTGTCAGATGGCACACCACCAATTGCAGATGTGATCTCTGGGAAGACCGAGCCCTGGCGCCTACTAATGTATGCTCCCCTCATCTTGAGCCGGATCCGCTTTCCCGAGTTAGGATATGAGCGGTTTGTGGTGATGCCGAGTTTAGTAGAAGAGACAGGCTCTACACTGTCTAGTACAGAAATGAGGTAGAATGAGGCGCGGTGTACCAGCAATCAAACCAGGAGATTTGGGGCGGGCTTAATGGTAGAACAGGTACGGCAGCTTTCCCTCCCAGCATGCCAAGCCACTCCGAACGAACACAACCAGGGTAGAAACCTTGAGGTACATATCTTTGTGTCTTAGCAAGAGGCCTTCTGCCTCTGCCATAGGGCAGATACACATGGGCCCGCAGCGAAATGCGCGTGATGGAGCAAGGATCGGTCCTTTCATAGCGCTTGTGTGACTTATCGACGAATCAACGGTGATGCTGTGATTGCGGCACAGCAAGACTGTGCATGGCGGACTGATATTTGGCTCAGCGCAGGACATCGTTCCAGGATGATCGGGTACCTGTCTGCAATCAGTGTACCGCATGTCTTTGATGTTGAGTCTTGTCCTACCATGTCGATGATATTCCGATGCC